ACTTGATAAGAAGGGGATGCACTGGCAGGCGTGGGATAATATGTGTATCGAAAAGTCAAAAGGAGGTCTCGGATTTCGGGATTTTGAAACCTTCAATGACGCGATGCTGGCCAAGCAAGCATGGAGAATTCTTGACAATCCAAACAGCTTGTGTGCCCGAGTTCTAAAGGGAAGATATTTCCCAAATGAGGGGTTCCTAACTGCGGGTTGTCCAAAAAGTGCATCTAAAACATGGAAGGCTATAATTGTAGGGAGAGAGATGCTCAAGAAAGGACTAATTCGACGAGTGGGAGATGGATCAAAAACCGAAGTGTGGCATGATCATTGGATAGAGGGCTCCACGTCCATGACTCCAATGGGTGCACTCAAGCCGAATTCTATTCAGCTTGTGGCTGACTTGATTGATCCGGAGACAAACCAATGGGACGTAGATAACATCCGAAGTCTGTTTTTTTCCCCGGATGCGGATGCGATCTTGGCCATGCCTAGACCGAGAGCAGGAGGTACAGACATATGGGCATGGGCCTGGGAGAAGTCGGGCTTTTTCATAGTCCGGTCAGCCTACCGGCAAACGATGCAAGCAAAGCTTCAGCTGTCGGCAATGGTAGGATCATCCTCTGGCGATGAAGGAGTATGGCGTGCATTGTGGAAGCTGAATGTGCTTCCTAAGATTCGAGTTTTCTGGTGGCGCGTGCTTAAAGGCTTCTTACCAAATTATGGTGAGCTTCGACACGACATATCAAGCAGACGCCGAACTGTCCAATGTGTGGACATGACAATGAAATTCTGTTTCATTCACTGATGGAGTGCGACCATGCGGTATGGTTCTGGGAGGCGGCGGAGCGGTTCTTCGATATACGTATTCCAAGGCTACACCTGATGACATGGTCCAGGGATCTGATTGATCATGAGCTATTTAAGCAAGAGGATGCTGCTATTATGATTACGGTGATGTGGGCGGTGTGGCACTCAAGAAATAGATATACACATGGTGAACAAGTGTATCAGCAGTCGCAATCGATGATCATCATAGAGGATATAGTTCGAGCGCTTGAGGTCCCTGTTAGTGTGAAGAACCAACCTATTTGTCCCCCTCGGTGGCTGCCACCAGACGAGGATTGGGTCAAGATCAATACGGATGGAGCTACACATTCGGCACGGGTGCGAGGAGGAACGGGTTTTGTTGCCCGTGATCATCATGGCTTCTTTCTTAGAGCGGGAGGCTCAAGGTATGAGGGGATAATTGATCCATTGACACTTGAACTCCTTGCATGCAGAGATGGGCTGTCCTTGGCATGTGATATGGGGCTAGATAGAGTTGAAGTCCAAATAGATTGCCAGGAGATTATACGTCTGTGGGAGTCACCGCAGAAATCGTCATGTTATCATCTCTTGAAAGAGATTGAAGTATTAAGTACTTTTTTCCAGGGATTTAAGCTACGGTTTGCCAACCGGCATTGTAATACAGTGGCTCACCAGGTAGCTAGACATTCTTTAGAACTTTCTTCTTCTCAGATTATGTATGATACAATCCCTAGGTGGCTGGCTGATTCTCTACAGTCAGACATGCTAGCGCCAAATGAATAAAGAGTCAACTGACGTTTTAGCTTTAAAAAAAAGGACGATCGGAAGATTCAGACCATGCTTATTTTAGCGTTTTGAGAAAGTCCAATGCCTCGCCAAACTTCCTCTTTGGGCATATTTCCTTATTAGCAACTTTCAGAAATGTGTGTCTGTAACTTTAAAAAAATCTGTACAAACTTGTAGGATCTTTTATAGATTTGAAAATTTCCACAAAAACGGAATTTCAATCTTTTTGAATTTTTAAAAATTCAAACTTTTAGAATACTCAACTTTCAAGAACTTTCAGAAATTATAAAAATTTGGACCCCCAAATTTTGGATGTTCATTTTCTAGGAAGTTCAACAAAAGGAAAATGAACAAATGCCACGGGCCCTAAGGTAGATTCGCCCTGCTCTCCCCCACCCCCACCCCCACCACCACCACGACCACTAGGCGCACGTGTCCTGAAGGTAATCTTCCAATGCGTGCACTTTGTCCGTGCGACCCTCCTCGTGCCTGTATGGACATGCAACACGTGCATGGGGTCCTTCACGGCATGCAGCGCCCCAACAAGGCGCCTTTTCTCGTTCGTGGTCAACTGCGAATGCGTCGGTTTTCAGTCAAAGATATATTCGACTAACATACAATCTCATGCACACTAGTGATCTCAATGTAATCCAAATCTTTGGTATGAAATCAAAGGTACATATCCAATTTTGCCACAAACAATTGTGTCAATTTAATTGAAGCCCAAAAATAGTCTTTGTAGCAGCAGTTAGAGATCAGGCTGAAGCATCGACGGCGTTGGCGAACCATGGCCGCCTGAGCGCGGTGGTGGCCGACAACCTCTTGTCGATGTTGCACGAGAGGAGCCCCTTGAGGACTTCGAAACCTTCTTTGGAGAGGCGGTCCTCGGGAAAGTGCTCACGGAGCTTGTTGCGGGAAATGACATGCGGCGGCGTCACCAGCTTCCCGGCGAGCGGCAATGACTCGTAGGCTGGCCAGATCGTGAACAATGGCACGCCGAGAACGCGGAAGATGGCGAGGAGCTGTTGGGCGTCGTCGTCCCCGTCGAAGAGCGGCTTCCCGGAGAGGAGCTCGGCCATGACGCGGCCGAGGGACCACATGTCAACCGTGGCGTCGTAGTCGGTCTTGCCGAGGAGCATCTCCGGTGCCATGTATCGGCGTGTGCCGAGTTGGCCGTACGGCGCGGGCTCTGCCATGGACACCGCGAGCCCTAGGTCGCAGATCTTGACGGTGCTGATGCCGTCTGCGCCGACGAGGATGTTCCCCGGCTTGATGTCGCGGTGGATGATGCGGAGCCCGTGCATGTGCTTGGCGGCGCCGAGGAGCTGCTCCATGATGCAGCGGACGTCGCCCTCGGGGAACGGCCGGCCGCGGCGGTGCTCGTGGAGGACGTCATGCAGGCTGGGCCCGACGCACTCCATGACGACGGAGAGCTTCCTGGCGAAGGGGTCGAGCGAGAGCGCCCGGAGCTCGACGATGGCGCGGTGGCGGTGGCACGCGGCGAGGAACGCCGCCTCGCGCAGCGTGCGGGCGTCGGCGCAGCCGCAGGCGATGCCGGCGCCCTCGTGGGCGCAGGGGAGCGGCTTCTTGACGGCAACGGTCCAGCCACGTGTGAGGTGGCGCGCCTCCACGACGCCGCCGAAGCCGCCCTCGCCGAGCGCGCGCGTCTCCTGGTAGTCGGTGGAGCTCCAGTAGCGCACCCTCTTGCAGAAGGTGAGCCTCGGGGCGCCGCCGCTGGTGTCCACCTTGAAGTCGGGGTGGTCGCCGGGGAAGACGCGCCTTATGGCCATCGGGGAGGAGGGTGAGGAGGAGGTCGGGTCGATGGAAGAAGCTGCGCGGCCGAAAAGGAAACGAGGAGAGGATCGCATGGTGGCGGTGGTATATATTGAGGTTGGGATGCTCAGCGTCAGCGAGACGTGCTCGGATTCAACGAGGTCAACGCGCTGCGGCCTGCGTGGCTTGGGCGAGACTGTAACGGGAGCATCTACGCGTTCGGATTCGTAGCCGGAGGAAAACACAAAGGAACTGCGGTCACTTTTCCGATTTCGATCTAAAACGGGATATCCGTGCATGGATATCTGTGGTTGCCTTAAGATTCACGCTAATTGTTTTTGTTGTTGTCAAAAATTATCTCGATATTTGTTCATTCTTTATTTCTTTTTTTTTAGGGGTGTTCATTCTTTATTTCAATGTGTACCATCGTGTTTCATTATGTGCCAATAAAAAGGATGCTCTTGTTTTGGATCGGTTTTAATATGCAC